GGACAGGTATGTTTGCTGCATGTTCTCACTTTCTTTGTGCGTGTATCTGATATTCCAGTCAAAAAATTTCAGGGGAAGCCTCCAGATTGGCAAGATTTTGTTGGTATAGTGGTTTTACTGTTCATCAACTCCACCATAAGCTTCATTGAAGAGAACAATGCGGGGAATGCTGCAGCGGCGCTAATGGCAAGCCTTGCACCAAAGACAAAGGTATTGTGAGATTTAGCTGAAGCATTGACAACACCATGTCCCATTTTCTTGGTTTTCAACTGAGAATTTATGCATTTTTTTTTCATGAAGGTCCTGAGAGACGGCAGGTGGTCTGAGGAGGAAGCTTCAATCCTGGTACCAGGAGATATCATCAGCATCAAGTTGGGAGATATAATCCCAGCAGATGCTCGGCTTCTTGAAGGGGATCCACTCAAGATTGATCAATCTGCACTCACAGGTGAATCATTGCCAGTAACTAAAAGCCCCGGGGATGAAGTGTTTTCAGGCTCCACTTGCAAACAAGGAGAGATTGAGGCTGTTGTTATTGCCACTGGGATCAATACTTTCTTTGGGAAAGCTGCTCATCTTGTCGACAGCACTCATTCAGTCGGTCACTTCCAGAAGGTATTTTTGACATTGTTTACCTTAATCATAAACTTGTATCACATGTACAGTTTGTCTATTATATGTTGGACATAATGAATTTACCTCAGTTTTTTACATGTTTGGCTTTTCTGATTTGTATTGTATGAATATAATTGATGTGGTTAGGTGTTGACTGCCATTGGTAACTTTTGCATATGCTCCATTGCGTTGGGGATCATAATAGAGATAGTGGTGATGTACCCGATTCAGCACCGTAAGTACAGAGATGGAATTGACAATCTGCTGGTTCTTCTCATTGGAGGAATTCCAATTGCCATGCCAACTGTGTTATCTGTGACTATGGCCATTGGATCCCACAGGTTATCACAGCAAGGTGCTATCACCAAGAGAATGACCGCTATTGAAGAAATGGCTGGAATGGATGTCTTGTGTAGTGACAAGACTGGAACGCTTACCCTAAACAAACTCACAGTTGACAAAAATTTAATTGAGGTTGGTAAAGCTGATATGGAATGAGCTCAAAATTTTAAACGGGAAAATGGGAGAGTAGACTAAATTTTTGAGCAATATTTCTGTTAATAAATTAATTTACAGCAATACACTTCCTAATCATGGAAGTGGTGTTACGTAGATATTTGCAAAGGATGTGGACAAAGAAATGGCAGTTCTTCTTGGGGCTAGAGCATCAAGGGTGGAGAATCAGGATGCTATTGACGCTTGCATTGTTGGAATGCTGGGTGATCCGAAAGAGGTACCGACACTTTTTGCCGGGCTAGATATTCTTGTTCATAAAACAATTACTATAATCAATCTGTTATTACAGGTTACCCGTTATTATGTTTTATTAGATATTTTATAAACTCTTTACTTGTGTTTCCAGGCTAGAGCAGGAATCACTGAAGTGCATTTCCTTCCCTTTAATCCTGTGAATAAGCGCACAGCTATTACTTATATCGACAGCAATGGTCATTGGCACAGAGTTAGCAAAGGGGCACCCGAACAGGTAAATTACGTAAATTCCAGAAAAATATAATCTTCCCCTGTATTATTTTCCTAATTCAAAATTCTCTCCCAAACAGATCGTGGAGCTATGTGGCCTAAAGGAAGATGTGAAGAAAAAAGTTCACTCCATAATCAATAAGTTTGCGGAGCGTGGTCTTCGCTCTCTTGCTGTAGCTCGCCAGGTGTGTTAGTAAGCGAATTTCTTTACGTAGGTAATTGATGAAAGAATGGAGCTTCATGTAACTGAAACTTGTTAACAATATTTTTCTGGTTTATCAGGTTGTACCTGATAAGACGAAGGACAGCCCAGGAGGGCCCTGGGTGTTCGTGGCACTCTTGCCACTTTTTGACCCTCCAAGACATGATAGTGGCGAGACCATCAGGCGTGCCCTTAACCTTGGCGTCAATGTTAAGATGATCACTGGTGATCAGCTAGCCATTGGCAAGGAGACTGGTCGAAGGCTGGGAATGGGAACAAACATGTATCCTTCTTCCTCCCTTCTTGGACAACACAAGGATGAAAGTATTGCTAACATCCCGGTTGAGGAACTCATTGAGAAGGCTGATGGCTTTGCTGGTGTCTTTCCAGGTGAATAGTGTAACGTTCATATAACCTGGTTATATGTAAATTCTTTTACTACCTACCACCTTAAAATTTAAGATATATTGATTGATTTCATTCGTTTAGTCTTTTGTGAACATTGAGTGCTGACAATTTTTGAGGACGGATGTAGAGCACAAATACGAGATCGTGAAGAAGCTGCAAGAAAGAAACCACATCTGTGGAATGACAGGAGATGGTGTGAATGATGCCCCAGCTCTAAAGAAGGCAGACATTGGCATTGCAGTGGCAGATGCAACTGATGCTGCCCGGAGTGCATCTGATATAGTCCTGACAGAGCCTGGATTGAGTGTGATAGTGAGTGCAGTTTTGACAAGCAGGGCCATATTCCAGAGGATGAAGAACTACACAATATATGCAGTTTCCATAACTATACGTATTGTGCTCGGTTTTATGCTCATTGCACTCATCTGGAAGTTTGATTTCTCACCGTTCATGGTTCTGATAATCGCAATCCTCAATGATGGAACCATCATGACAATTTCTAAAGACAAGGTGAAGCCATCCCCGATGCCTGATTCATGGAAGCTGAAAGAAATTTTCGCCACTGGAATTGTTCTTGGAACTTATCTTGCAGTAATGACTGTAGTTTTCTTCTGGGCTGCGCATGAGTCAGATTTCTTCACGGTAGGAGAGTCCATTTGTTTAAACAGATCAAGGACTTTTTTCTTTTTTGCATTCCATTCGTGATGAAATTCACAATATGATTAATATTTGCAGGAAAAATTTGGTGTAAGATCAATCAGGCACCATTATCCCGAGCTCAATTCAGCTCTCTATCTTCAAGTTAGTATTGTTAGCCAGGCACTTATCTTTGTCACTCGTTCAAGGAGCTGGTCATTCATGGAACGTCCTGGACTCCTGTTAGTGGGAGCATTTCTAATAGCACAACTGGTAAGTTGTACAAAAACGTAGCAATTTCACTTGAGTTTCTGCCTTTCTAACGTCATTTTCTTTTTCATTTTTTGTCAAGATCGCAACATTACTTGCTGTGTATGCTAACTGGGAATTTGCAAGTATCCGCGGGATAGGTTGGGGATGGGCAGGTGTTATCTGGTTTTACAGCTTCATCTTCTACTTCCCTCTGGATATTTTGAAGTTTTTCATCAGATATGCATTGACTGGCAAGGCGTGGAATAATATACTTGACAACAGGGTATCATATCCAGCCTTTTCCAATTAACAAAATGTGACTCTACTTAGAAAGCTTAAGTTCTATTAGAGAGATTAATATTTAAATTTACTCTTTCAAGATATATTTTTTATGCGCATTTTCCTAAATGGTTGACAAGAAGATTTGAGTAAGAAACTTTTAAAAGCTGACGTATAGATCTTTCACAGAGGAATCTAGTTTTCGACTCCCTTTCGATTTTTGTACCCTAATCAATCAATTCTTATTGTCCTCGTAATTCTGCAGACTGCCTTTACAACAAAGAAGGATTATGGCCGGGGAGAAAGGGAAGCACAGTGGGCAATGGCTCAGCGCACACTGCATGGACTTCAGCCACCAGATACTTCAGAACTCTTTACCGACAAAAACAGCTACAGAGAACTTTCTGAAATTGCTGAACAGGCCAAAAAACGTGCTGAAGTTGCCAGGTCTATTTGCTTCTGAAAATCTATTTGCCTAAAAAAGTTTACATTGTACACATGAATTTACTGAGTTTGATTGGATGGTTCTTCCTACCAAACATGTCCTGAAAAATAAGATAAAATCTTTTCCATTATGTGGTACGGCTTACCTAATGTGTCCCCGACTTTCTTGCAATTGAATTTCAGGCTGAGAGAGCTTCACACTCTGAAGGGACATGTGGAATCAGTTGTCAAGCTTAAGGGTCTTGACATTGAGGGTATTCAGCAACACTACACAGTTTAATAAAGTGCAAGAGAGGATGATGATAGAATTTTCCAGAAGATAAAGACGAGAAAAGGAAACTCTTTATTGTAAGTTTATTTTCCCAGATGGATTTGTGGAGATAATTGCGAAAGCATTGACAATAATTGTTGGAAACAGCAGTCAGTCATAGGACAAGAGTTTCAGATTTGGTTCTTTCTTGTGCGTGACATTTTACCACAATCTGTTTATCCATATAATAACACCTTACTGCATTTCATGCAAATTTTCAGTTTTTCACTGGTTAGTCTTGAACATAGATTCATTACTTGAGTGATGATGGCGTGTTTGGGATTGGATAATATTGCACACGAACGACATTTTATATTGTTTATCTTCTTTAATTATATTGAGTACAAATATACAGTTGAAACGTGCTGCTACAATGGGCATTAGAAGAAAAGTTTCTAATAATAGTTACAACCTTTGGTACATTTAATACTTGGATCTTTAATTAAAAAAAAGATCTATGAAGTCAAGTCCAAACTTTAGCATAGAGTTCCTTTTATAAATATTTTTCATCAATTAAAAATCCGAGTTATTGAGTACTGCACACATATCCTAAGGAAATCAAATAGAATGAAAAGGAAAGATAAATAACGGACTTGGCTATTTTATTTATAAATCTTGTTCTTATTGTTCTTGTGAGGTTTCATCTTATAATCTAATTTGACTCGTTTTTCACTTTGATCAAATTGCTATTTGGATTAAAATGGTAATTTAATAGCTCAAATTTATTCGAGTTCTAATAGAATTTATACAGTAAATCTAGAAAAAAAAATTAGGGTAAGAATGAAGAAAGTATAAGTGTTCGCAAAATTTGCCTTTCCACAACGATACGCTAGTTTGGAACTAATATTTTCTGTTACTCCTAAACCAAAGAAATAAGAACATTAGCAGAGTACGTTGTACCATTTTTGTTCATTTCACTAAACCAAGTCCTGAATAGTAACATAATTTATGACAGCAGAAAGATGAAATTTACATTATTTTCTAGAAAGCCCAACAACGTTAACCACCCATCTCTTTCCTGCTCTTTAGTCCAAGTAAATCCGGATATGGATGTCAAAGGGAAAAATCACCAAATATTTTAGATTGTGAAGGGACAGAAACAATTATCCCTCCAAAAAGATTACTAATATTGAACTTCTACTCAAATGAAAACTAATTTCCCAACACAGCAAATGAAATGCACTTGCCTGACTTTTACGCGAAATGATGAGGATCGACCAAGTTTAGAAAGAATGCCTTGGTTATTAATTTCTTAAATCTTTAGTCTTCCTTTTCCCCCTTTATTTTTCTTCTTTTTGCGAGCAGTATTAAGCCTCTCCCTCGGTACGAGATACTTGTACAGTTTAGGCTCAGTCTGGTCCCGAATACCAAGTTTAGATAAAATGAGGCAGTAAGAATCAAAGTCCGTCCGTCTGAGATACCTCACCAATTTCTTCCTCCTCTCGACCATTAGCTCAAGGCCCCTCCGAGAATGCTTATCCTATATCATTACATGATAAACCTTTTAGAATAAGCAACTAGATCAAATCCAATTTAGGCAGTACAAACATCAAATTCCTCCAGGGCTAGGAATTTAAAAAAAAAAAAAAAAAATGTTAAACTTTTGAACCCTGCACTTTAGATCCAGAACAAACATCAAATTCCTCCCAGGGCTAGGAATTTAAAAATAAAATGTTAACTTTTGAACCCTGCACTTTGGATCCAGAAAGGCTGGTGTCAAAGTTCTAGTAGAAGAACATTAGCATTGATTTTTGGTAAAAAAAGGAAATGTGTTTAACCAGAATAACAGTACGAGGCAATTGATTGCGAGCCTTTAAAATAAAATGGCAAATCAATTTAACAAGATATTTTTTTATCCTATCATGCATTATAAAAATGTACTCACCTTTTTATGCAGAACACTATCCAGATGTTTAATCTTTGTTGTGAGTTGTGCCACTGCAAAATAGCTAGTCATCTTAAACCAGGTTTTCAAAAACAAATCACGTCAACGACAAATTCTTTCCAGAGTTTTCAAGTGACTCCCGCACCCACCCCTCAAGATGCAGTTACGAGCACAAAAACGTATACATGGTTGAGCACAGATTGATCAATGGCAATATAAGCAAAATTCAGAGGCTCTACAAAGAAAATTCTCATCTGAAGTCCAAAGAAAATCATATTGAACACGAATGGATTACAAGAGAGATCTTCTTATATATTTAACTAATTTATTGAAGCACAAGGATAAACAAAGAAATTTTACAAATTCTGTAGCATTGGAAAAATACACAGGAGGATTAGCAATTTAAAATCAGAAATTGCTTATGAGCCGTGAATCTAAATTATGAGAGCAAATATTAGTAGTTTTCTGAAAGATCACAATACTAAGTTCAAGGTTATCATTTACTTTATTTATTCTACTCATAAGAGAATTTCAAAATTAACTAAACATTATAATAGCAATATTCCCGTGTTAAACTAATCAAAGGTCAGGCCACGTGCAATACGGTTCTAGGTATTGGATACCTTTCCTGCAAACTTTATGGGTACTCAACGGGGACTCAGGGTGGTAAATGTTGAATGGACTAATTTCAGATTGTTTTTCCTCCTCGTCTAAGTTGTGGAGACATCACTAAGCAACAGATCTCAACAAGATTTCACAAAAGCACCATGCATGCAATACCTACTTAGTTCATCTAACCAACATGAAGTCCCCATATATAGTATTATCAACGTGATGACAAAGAGTTCAGGAAAGTTGGATATTCTATGAATGAAAAAAATTGGTAGCATTTACAAGTTTCTCAAGAGTCCAAGATACCTTGTAGGCCAATTAATTTTCCTTTAGTTTTTGCAGCAAACACATACAACTAATACACATAAAAACTGGTAATTACAAATCAACCAACAAAGAAACCATCTATATGCCACCAAAATATTTTTCTTATTCAAACAAATCCATCAACATTTATTCGTATATCTCTCGGGTCTCATAGGCGTTGCATGAAATGCATTCTCCAACAGAGTGATAAGACATTCCAAACAAGACAGTATGCAACTGAAAACATTGCATACAAGTCTTCTGCAAAGATTTGAATTAATAAATTCATAATAAATTTTCATGTCTCCCAAACTAGACACGTCTAAAGTGAAACAATAGAGTAAGAATAATATTGACATCATCAGCTTTCTTTATATCTGAACAAACACTGCATGAATAAGTGTTACGATTACTTTACCTTGAACACGAGCAGAACCACAATCTGACTCTGACATTTTAAATTCATCTCTGACTTTTTTAAGTTCCAGAGCTAGTTTCTCAGCAGATGACATGTTATCAGGATGAAAATACTGTAGAAACAAAAATAAAAAAATTACAATATAAGAACTTAGCTGTGGAAAAGAAAACAAAAATAAAATTGATGGATAAATTTAAGAGCACATTAAGCAGTAATCAAATATTTGTGGTCAAATCAATTATTCCAGCACATGAAAGAATCATTAGACAGACAGTTACTCTTACTCATGACCGGAACAGACAAGTTTCAATTAATATATGCAAATCAAATAATATGTTGTTCTATCTTTGTGATTCTTTATATTATTGGGAGACTAAACTATAGATACAACTAAATCACAAAAACTAGTATATGTTTCAGAAGCAAGAATATGGTTGATGGTATATAGTCTACAGAACCAAGATGCAGAACACAATCCTTTCACTGTCTGCATATATTCTTGATGCTAACCAAATGTATCCTCACATGATATGCACTAACACTCCTATTACGGTGGCTTTGTGTAGACACTCAAGTGCATGTATCCAACAAGCCACGTGCGCTGGTCTTATTTTTTATATATTTTTAAATTACCAACCCTCGAGGAATACCATAGAGATGCCTCTCGGGCAAGTGTCCGACATACCATATAGCCTGTCCTTCATATGAATTTAAATTTTTTTAAGAATTTACTGGGCCCGTGCAACTTGGATAGCCACATCAGCAGTAAAATCGAAAACCAAAGGAAACAAGGATTATGAGATCAAATTACCTCATATGATGCTTTAAGGTCTTATTTGATGTTATTCAGATTATATGATTTTATTTGCACTGCCCCAAAAGCCACATTTAAGCCTCCAGATAAGTGGGACATTTAAATGGCTTTTAAGCCTGTCTTGATCTTCATCAGATAATATGCGGATTAGACAGACATAATATCAAGATGTTGGAGGACCGTGAAATAAGTTTCATCACAACAATCTGAAGATGACAACTAAATTGAAAAACACCTACCTTCTCAACTAAGTGGTCCTTTGGAGGTGACAGCATGAAGCTTGGGGTTCCTCCTAGCTGACCCAAAATGTTAAGTCTCTGCACTGTAACAGTTTATTTATTAATAACCTATAGGTGTTATATAGAGACATTACAAAGTATTTGCACTAAACTGGAAAAGAATCCCTAGCTCTATAAGTAACACTTTGCCCTTTGGACTTCTCAGTAACTTTTAAGTGATTCATGAACTCATTTTACATCACAAGTCAATCAGACAAAATTTGCAGCACGGGATAGTTGAAAACCAGAAGAGGGGATGAATTACATAAAGCGGGATGCTAATTATGCATATTTCACTACACAACTAATGAAATGTTTATGCTTGATGCTTGTTCAGAGAAAATAAAAGACAATGTAAAATGGTGCTTAAGGTTTAGGATTGAACAAATTGTTTCCTTGTGAATTTTTACAAGAGGAAATCATGGAAAGTAAAAGCCCTGCAATATTTGCAGCAAATCCAACACTGGGAAGCACATTTGCAAATTACGTGCTTACTTAAATTTCAACAGAACAATGTACGACAACAATCTCAATACAAATAGAAAATGATTGCTAACTATAAATCAGAACATCAGAACGTAAATCTTATTAGTCATTTCATGACCATGCCATTTAGAGATAAAAGGCCAAATGTATTTGCTATGGGAACAAGACCGTATATCAGGAACACACAACTCGATTCAACCAGCTAAAGGAATTATCATATAAGCTAGTCAAATTGTTGCTGAAGCAGCAAAACTTACTCGTGTTCTTTCTCGTTTTCTCATCACCTGACATCTTCAACCGCACAAGACTATCTCTCAAGTCCATGAAATCGAAACCCCCAATTCTTGTCTCGCTCTCTTTCTCTTCAATCTCTCTCAGCTTCAACAGCCTCTCATTCAGCTCCTGCAGTGAGAACCAGTTTCCCTTCTTCTTCTCGGGCCTCAACATCTTCAACTTTTCCCCCAACTCATTATAACTGTACGTCTTGACAAATTCAGTCCTCATTGCAGGGCCGGCTACATCACCATCCCTTTTCTCCTTCCCAAATATCGAGGCAGGCAAACTATCGCTGCCACCAATCATCGTTTGGGGTTCCTGCGCATTTGGACCAACAGGTTTCAACTTCAAGCTGTCCTTAAACCTCGAAAGTGACATTGAATCAACGGCCTTCCCACCAGAATCAGTTTGTCTATTTGGGGAAGTGGACCGGAGCTGATGGATGCCCTCGCGAATTGCAGCAAATGAGAGTTTCCCACCAGCTGCGGCAGCTCCCGAAGGTTTCGCAGTCGAATCTGAAGAAAAGGAACCAGATTCTTCAGCTTTTGGAAGGACATTTCTTTTATAGAGTTCTTGGAATGATATGGGCTGACCGGAATGCGAAGACGGCGAAGCAGCGGACGATGATGGAGGCAGTGCGGCAGCGCGGCGGCGAAACTCGGAGAGGTTTTTACGGATTTCTTCCAATGAATCGATTTTAGGAGGTGGTGTTTGAGGAGTAGAACTTGAAAACGACAGCGTTTTGCGAGGGATTTGTGCTCGATTCTGATCTGAGGATTCTCTTTGTAGACTGGCTTTCACATCGCTGAAATATGAGGAGAATGGGGATTTAGATTGGGTTTCCGATTTCGATTCGGATTCCGAATCGGGTCGGGATGTGTTGGCATTGGGGGCGGGTTTGGAAGATGAGGAGAAGAAGCGGTAGGGAATTCGGCAAGGCTGGTGAAAGGAATAGAATTTGGGGCGGCAGAGGCGGATGAGGTTGGTGGTGGCCCCCATTGGCGGTGGCGCCTACATGACAGATCAAATACAAATATGCAGTGAAACTATAAGCAAACTCTGAATTACAAATGACAGAAAACAACATTTCGCAAAACAAACCTTAAATCTGAATGAGGAAACAAAAAACTGAGAATCCTTGTATAAGAACGCTTAGAATTGCTCTCTTTTCCCTGAACCGTCCCTCTTTCCCGTAAAATTGCGGCTAGGGCAAAATTCAAAACATCCCATCCCCAAAATTCATCGTGCTAAAGGGCTGGAAGAGATAGCCCAAATAATATATGACTCGTGGTTAAATTCCATTATCCAAAAATTCTATTTTAATAAGTTTATCACACATTCTATTAAAAATAACATTCTTTAGGCCCTGTTTGTTTGGCACCCATTTTTATCAAAATGCATTTTTCTCTCTCTTCTTTTCAACCACACATTCTTTATTAAAATAATATTAAACGTAAATCAAAAATTTTTTCTTATTTTTCAACCACACATTTCCCATCAACTTACTATTCAAAAATGCATTTTCACATAAAAATTCCTACCAAACACCTTCTTAGTATCAATTGTGCTAGAATACTAAATTAGATTGCCACTTTTGATATGTTTAATTAAATTAATCACGTGACATTACATTTAAGTGTATCTATTATTTAATGTCAAACATTTGTTATTTAAACGGGTACTTGACATCGATAATGTTAAGCATGAGTACATGCTTTTGTTGATATGGATTGTGTTAGGTTGTGGTCCATGGGAGATTGGTCTTTGCTTAAAGTCTTTCGAGCTAACTGAACTAATAGGACCTTAACATGAACTCATGATGAATTCAGAATAATAGCAAAAACTGGAAAGAAACTTCAATAGGGCAGTCGCACCGCCAGATTGAGCCACCTCGGGGTAGTGATGTCAATGGACCGGCTTGACTCGGCCCTTAACCTCACGAGCTTGGATCACGATGAGTGCGAACTGAGCTCGTGGCTCGTTGAAGCTTGAGCTCGGCTCGTTGATTTTGGGCGAGCTTGTGGCTCGGCCGAGCTCGTGGGTCAAATCGAGCTTTGGCTCGCGAGCTCATCATCTTTTTCGTTTTTTTAAATAGAAAAAAACACAAATAATGTAATAAAAACACTTTTTAAAAAAATAAAAAGTGTTAAAAAAATACAAATAATTTAATGAAGATACTTTTTTTCTTTTTTATTTATAACATATTGTAATTTTTTTTATAAAGTATAAAATATTTATATAATGAAGACGAATTGTTTATTGAAATACATTTACAAAAAATATATTTTTTTCGATTTCTTTTTAAAGTAGATAAAATGTAAACCCTCCTCCTTTATTCGGATTTAGGACCGGCTACATCAATTTTAAATAGGCGGAATTAAAAATTGTACACGAACAACTTGTTATAACGTGTATAATTTTTTAAAGAAAATTAAATTTAACGATTAAAAAATAAGAAAATTTTGATTAATATAATTAAATCAAATATCACTTACCTGACGACATGCAATTTCAGCGTATTTATCTTGTAGTTGAAAATGAGTGTCCTACCAATCCTTCACGCACATTAACGCTTCCAAAACATCATCTTTTAGTCGGCTCCTGACATCGGTCAAAACTCTTTTACCTACACTAAAAGCAGACTCCGAAGCAACAATACTAATCGGAGGTATCAGCAGATCTTTCGCAATTGCAAAACCAATTGCCTAACGTCTTTCACACTTTCGTCAGAATTCAATTACTTCTTCTAAACTTTTTTTTAATTGTTCTGTCTGTTGGCATATTATGATTGAAGTAATCAATTAATTCGGCAAGTATCGCATTTTGAGTTGCGGGATGCAAATGTAGACGACATTGTACTAGATGAACACATTGCAGTTACATCATATCTAAATGTATTAATGCCTTGAAATAAATTCATTGTTTCGACATCATATGCTTCAATTTCAGCCGAAAGAATAGGTGCAGAGGGTACCCGACTAACATTCGCACCCATTCTTTCCGCATATAAATAATACATTTCATATAATGTTTGCTCTAAATTCTTATAGGTGATAGGTGTATCAAGTATTAAGGTTTTATTGATTTGATCAATTACGTATTTAGTTCTCGAAATATTATATTGATGGTCCATTGTGCATGCTAAAAGAAATAACATATTGAGTTGCGGGATGCAAATGTAGACGACATTGCACTAGATGAACACATTGAGTTACATCATATCTAAATGTATTGATACCTTAAAATAAATTCATTGTTTTGGCATCATCTGCTTCAATTTCAGCCGAAGGAGTAGGTACAGAGGGTACCCGACTAACATTCGCACCCATTCTCTCCACACATAAATAATACATTTCATATAATGTTTACTCTAATTCTTATAGGTGATAGGTGTATCAAGTATTAAAGTTTTATTGATTTGATCAATTACGTATTTAGTTCTCGAAATATTATATCGAGGGTCCATTGTGCATGCTAAAAGAAATAACATATTGAGTTGCGGGCTGCAAATGTAGACGACATTGCACTAGATGAACACATTGCAGTTACATCATATCTAAATGTATTAATGCCTTGAAATAAATTTATTGTTTCGACATCATCTGCTTCAATTTTAGCCGAAGGAATAGGTGCAGAGGGTACCCGACTAACATTTACACCCATTCTTTCTGCATATAAATAATACGTTCTATATAATATTTGCTCTAAATTCTTATAGGTGATAGGTGTATCAAGTATTAAGGTTTTATTGATTTGATCAATTACGTATTTAGTTCTCGAAATATTATATCGAGGGTTCATTGTGCATGCTAAAAGAAATAACATAGACAGTTCTTCCCAATATTTTCTAAATTTTAATTCCATAGCAATTATAATTTCACTAGAAGTATGATCATTTTTATATTTATGGAATATTCTTGCAATTATATAAAGGCGTTCAAGCACCATACAACTCGTGTGATAATAAACGCCGGATAAAATCTTTGTGGTCTCATAAAAAAATGTGAAAAAAAGTTTAACTTTCAAAGCCAAATCCAATCGAATTCATTCAACATACTATTGTCATCACTTCTAATGTGTCTATTCTTATAAAAATCAGTTGTTAAATATTCCGAATATTCATACGACTTTAATAGCAAGTAAGTAGAATTTCATCTATAACTTACGTCTCTAACAAATGTTTTAACAGTCCTCACCCCTAGTTCGGCACAAAAATCTTCAAATGCTTGTTTTTTACTAGGAGAGATCGTAATATATACTAATGCATTTCTAATCTTTTGAAATTCATCATTTATATGTTTTAAGCCATCTTGCACAACTAAATTCAAGATATGACACACACAACGGATATGAAACAAATATCCACAAAAATCAGGTTCAAGTGTCTCACACAATTTATTGACGACTACCTTTTTAATACTAGTATTATCAAGAGTAAAAGATCGAATTTCAGTCTCGCAATTATATTCTCTAACAATACTGATAATAGTATTATATATATCATTAGCATTGTGAGAAAACTCAATAATTCTAAAAACGTTAATTTTTTTATGCATACACCAAATAGGTCTATATAATGTACGGTTGTAGTTATATATGCTCTTTTATTATTGCAAATTCATAATTAATTGTTGTTTTGAATTATTGAAATATTGTATTGTATCGGCACGAAGAGTGTTTTGACTTACCCCAACGACATTCTTTTACGAACATGACAAAGTGTTGGTTGTCTGCAATAGCCAAAGGCAACTTAGTGGCGGCTACAAATTTCACCATTCCGATTCGAGTATTGTCCTCTGAATGCACCCAGTAGATAGGGATGAAGTCGTGGAACCAACGCCTGGACTGCCAAATTGCAATTGTGTTTAACCAGTTGGAAGAAGTCCATGTCTAACCGCACATGCTTTGTATAGCGGTTGAGATAGATGATACCAATTCTTTTTTACCATGTCAATTTTTGTTGGCAGTAGTTACATACTGCCTTAGATTTTGCAAAGCCATTGACGACTTTTCCCGTTAAAATCAACTTAAAGTGATCCCAACATTTTGCTTATTTTTTACCCTATCGCTTTTCCCTCACATCTGGGATGTTTAACTTGACATCTTCGTCCTCATGTTCCGCTTTGGGAACGTTAATATCAACCAAATCGATTAGACTGTGGCTTCCCTGACCGTGAATTTGAACATCTTCAGGTATAGGTACGTCATTTAGACCGGTAAATTCATTTGGAAATTGACTTTGCGGCATCCTAAGCGATTCGTCATGTGGCCCACATCCCGTATCAAATAAGCTATCAACAAATGAGCATTGATCCATTTGTTTGATTATTTATGATGAAATCCAAATATAATAACTAGAAAAATATAAGTGTAGTGAGATTGGATTGTGGCTTCCCTGATCGTGAATGTGAACATTTTCAAGTATGGGTACATCATTTAGATCGGTAAATTCATTTGGAAATTGACTTGCAGCGTCCTAAGCGATTCGTCATGTGGCCCACATCCCGTATCGAATAAGCTCTCAACAAATGAGCGTTGATCCATTTGTTTGATTGTTTATGATGAAATCCAAATATAATAACTAGAAAAATATAAGTGTAGTGAGATTGGATTGTGGCTTCCCTGACCGTGAATGGGAACATCTTCAGGTATGGGTACGTCATTTAGACCGGCAAATTCATTTGAAAATTGACTTTGCAGCGTCCTAAGCGATTCGTCATGTGGCCCACATCCCGTATCAAATAAGCTCTCAACAAATGAGCATTGATCCATTTGTTTGATTGTTTATGAAGAAATCCAAATATAATAACTAGAAAAATATAAGTGTAGTGAGATTGTGAGAATTAAAAATTGGATGAATTGAAATTGTAACTGAATAAACTGTACAAAATGAATCGATATTGTATATTTTGCAGTACAATAAAGTAAAAACTTGATAATTGATATAATAAAAGAGAGTTGAGAAATGACAAGTAGTGATTGAGAGGAGATAATTGATATGAAAAAAATGAATCGATATTGTATATTGTATGATTGTATTAACTGTAGTTGAACTTTTTGTTCAGCTAAAATATTATGGACTTTATTCAGGTTCTATAGGCTAACAAATTTTTTTTGTTGTCTAGTTCTGATCTTCCATTTTACTTTTTCATTAAACATCATCGTTTGTTGAGGCACGCATTCGTATTTGAAGGCTCGAAGCCGCCAACAGCAGCAAGGGCGATATTCTACAGTTTCTTCTTCTAGACTTCTACCACGCCACCTCAATCATATGGGCAA